TGCCAGTGGGTGCCGTCCCCACCCTGAGAATGCCACTCTTGAGCCATGGCCACCACCTGAGGTGTCATCCATGCATCCCACAGGCATCAGAGAGGCGGCTACGGCCCCTACCCCAGAAGCAGCGGACACTCCATGAGAAGATCTTGGAGAAGACCAGGCAGGAGCGGAAGCTCCGGCCTGTGGAGACATCATATCACGGGCAGAAAGGTACTAGTGTGCCATCCCCACTGTGCCATGCTGGTGATGTGCCCAACCCCTGGTGCTGAGCCTGTCCCTCCACAGCATACAGCTCCCTGCCCTGCATCCCCCACGCCTGCACCAGCCGCCTGGCCTCCAGCTCCTGCCTCGAGCTCTCCCGGTGCCCTGCCAGCGCCATGCCCGCACGCCCACGGCCACGCGTCCTGCTCAAGGCACCCACCCTGGCTGAGATGGAGGAGATGAACCTCTCTGAGGCAAGGGGGACCTGCGGAGGGAGGGGGATGTGGGGAGTGTTGGAGTCCCTGAGGTGATGCGGTGCCCATGGCCTTGTAGGAGGAGGACTCTCCGGGCACAGAGGTGCCACTGAAGCGCGATCGCTCCTTCTCAGAGCACGACCTGGCACAGCTGCAGAGCCAGATGGGAGGGGAGCAGACTGCACCCCAAGACCCGGAGCCGCTGCAGCCCGAGCTCCGGCCCCGCTCAGGTACTGCTGGAAGTCTCTGTGCCCCTGTCCCAGGGCGGCTGTGCCATGCCCTGTGGCAGTGGTTGGCACCAGGCAACGTGGCCTCACCACAGCCTCCTGGTCCCTCCCTACAGGCTCTGTCCCTGCCAGCTGCCACGCACTGCCCGATGGCCCAGCACTGCCCCGAGCTGCCCTTGGTGCTGTGGAGGAGAGGCCAGAGGATGGATCCGGTGCTGCCCCCACCACCAGCTCCAAACACCTCTGGCTGGTAGGTGCTGGGGACACTAGAGCTGGGAACACTGAAGCTGGGAACACCAGAGTTGGGGACACCAGGAGAGCATGACCACAGGCACATGGCAGCCTGGCATGAGGGCACACAGTGGATGAGAGGTCCTCATGCCAGAGATACTTAGCCTGTCCTGGGATGCTCAGCCCATGCCCAGAGGCTCTGCCCCTGGCACAGAGATGCTCTGGACCGTGCCCTGTGTCACAACCTGAGGTGATGTTCCCCATGTCCTGCAGGAGTTCAACCACCCCGTGGAGAGCCTGGCCTTGACCGTGGAGGAGATGATCAATGTGCGCAGGGTGTTGGTCAAGGCTGAGATGGAGAAGTTCCTGCAGAGCAAGGAGCTGTACAGCAGCCTGAAGAGGGGGAAGGTGGGAATGGGGCTGGAGGGGCTGAGGGGTTTGGAGGGGCCACTGCCCATCCCCAGCTCACCCTGCTCTGCCCACAGGTCTGCTGCTGCTGCAGGACCAAGTTCCCCCTCTTCTCCTGGCCGGCTGCCTGCCTCTTCTGCAAGCGGTGAGCACTGTGCCGTGCTGTGCCATGTCACAGGGCTGGGAGGGTGGCAGTAGGGTCCTGTGTGATGGCCCCACTCACCCATCTCTCTCTGTGTCTCCAGGTCTGTCTGTAGCTCCTGCAGCCTGAAGGTAAGAAACTGGCTCTGGTCAGTGCCACTGTGTCCCTGTCCCTGATCCTATTCCAGCCCCATCATCCCTGTCCTGCCCTGTCCCAGTCCCATCTTAATGCATGCCATCCCAGCCTATTCCTGTCCTGCCTTGTCCTTGTCCCTGTACCTGTCCTGCCCTATCTCTGCCCCTGACCCATCCCTGTCCCATCCCATCCTGCCCTGACTCCCTCCCTCTGGCAGATGAAGATGCCTTCCAAGAAGCTGGCTCACATCCCCGTCTACGCTCTGGGCTTTGAGAGCCTCCCGGTTTTTTTTAAGGCCCCTGCCGCTGACCCGGAGGGAGCCCTTCCAGTGAGTCCCTGAGCCTTCCTCCTCCCTCTCCTCCTCCTCCTCCTCCTCCCCGGCGGGTTGCTGACGGGGTGCCCTGTCCCGCAGCTCGCTCTCGGGGTCGTGCTGGCGCCGGGTGGAGGAGGAATTTCCCCACATCTACGCCCAGGGCTCAGTGCTGCGCGACGTGTGCCCCGACTGCGCCGGCTTTGTCACCGACGTGGTGAGCTCCAGCCGCCGCAGCGTGGCCGTTCTCAACGCCAGCGCCGCACCGCGACGCCACAAGGCGCGATCGCTCTACGGAGACGCCTGGCTCAAGTGAGGGCTGGACGCCCCGGCGCGGCCCCCGATGTACATATATACATAGGATGGATACACACAGCCTCTATATTTATATACGTTATGGACCAGGGGGCAAGGGCTCATCCCCACTGTCCCTGGTGTCTCCTTTTTTCCCTGCCAACAGCCCCCGGGGGTATGGATCCTGCTGTGGGACATCTGCAACTCCCAGGGGAACAGATCCAGCTGTGGGGCACCCACAGCCCCTGGGGGCAAGGATCCCACTGTGCGACAGCTCCTGGGAGAATGGATCCAGCTGTGGAACACTCATGGATCCCAAGGGGATGGATCCTACAATGGGGTATTCACAGCTCCCAAGGGAATGGATCCAAGAGTGGGACAGCTCCTGGGGGACTGGATCCAGCTGTGGGGCACCCACAGCCCCTGGGGGCAAGGATCCCACTGTGCGACAGCTCCTGGGAGAATGGATCCAGCTGTGGAACACTCATGGATCCCAAGGGGATGGATCCTACAATGGGGTATTCACAGCACCCAAGGGAATGGATCCAAGAGTGGGACAGCTCCTGGGGGACTGGATCCAGCTGTGGGGCACCCACAGCCCCCTGTGTTTGCCCTCCCGG